AATAAAATTCCAATTTTAAATAAGTAAGTAAGTAAACAAGGCAATAAAATTCCAATTTTAAATAAGTAAACAAACAGGTCAGATACTTTTAGGATTTCATTGCTGTGAACTAAGTAGTCTTATTTTTTATAAATAAACATTCAAGAAAACCAGAATGGATCAAAGAAAAACACAACCAGCAGTTACATAAATTTCTTTCAGAAGTGGGACCGATACATGGCAATATAGTCACTCATGGCAATATAGTCACTCATTTTCACTTCAATTTAAAAGCAAAATCCAGCTATAAGGAAATGCAAAAATCAAACTGGAAAGTAATACGCCTCCTGTAGTGTTTTAGTCAGATTAATCAGAATAACTAAAAGAACTTACAATGCATTTATCAAAGTTTCTTTTAACAGTCACCAAAACATTTCCAAGTGTCGTGCTGAGAAAGGAAGCTGGGTCCACATTTTGTGCTGTCCATACATGATGGCTCATCTTAACTAGCATATAAAGGGAATTAAAGCTATCGATCTTGTCCCCCAGTGCAATAAGATTATTCAGCTCAGGTTCAATACAGCGAAATATTTTTGTCATCATTTGTCGGATCATGTCCTTCCTATTAAAAAATAATTAAAAATTACAGAAAAGTATTACCCTGACAGTTTAGCAAGCTATCTTACAGCCTCATTTAATACATATTTTTAAGAAAAAATACATTGCATTTTTATTTAACAGATATCAAGGTTTTCAGAATGTAAAACTGAAAGTCACAGATTTAAAGTACACTGAAAATTGTTCTGTGTGGAGGCTACCACATGCAAATTCAGAATTTTGCTAAGCCTATTTTGCGCAGTAACAAAATCCTGTTTCCTTTCACTTTGTAAGCTATTAGAGTATTACTTCTTTCTACTTTATTCAAAAGCATTCCTTCGATGTATTAAAGTTCAAATTTACTGACACATCGTGTGACTAGCTATAAATTTAGTTTATTATTCATTCACACTGAAGGAAACAATGTATCATTATGGAGAAAGAGATACCTTGGAGACATTCAGGCTTCAGCCTAATTAAAGACTAAAAATAAACAACATCAACACCTACTCAGATGATACAGTTTGAGGACCACCAGAAGTATATGAACGAGATAAAGTTCCTCCATCCATTTCCTCTGTTTCATTCTGTAAGAACAAGGAAAACATACACAGGAACCTTACAGGCTAGCCCAAATTCTGTATTAACTGACAAGTACATTTGAGAAAAACAACATAATTATCAGCATTTCTTCTCCGCAAAGAAGGAAATACAATAGTTTGCAAGGTTCTAGGAGAAAAAATCTGGTCATGCTCCCCACAGTGCAGTACTATAAACAATAAAACTCCTGTTGCGTAACATCCTACATAGCTGACTTTGGGAGGAAACCAAAACATGGCAAGAAACCCATCAGTCCTCCTTAGTTTTTCAATTGGCTGTCCAGAAATAAAGATTCTGCCTGATAAAAAAGAATAAGTTGTGACCCACCTGTTTCACATAACCAACAAATAAATTCAAATAAATTTTTTATGTAGTGACAGGACTGAAATGTACCTTACCGATGTTGTTCCAGGGATGCTCTGATGTTGCTGTAGTTTGAAAAATTTACTAATGAAGTCCTGTTCTGCCAGGCACAGAGGCTCTAGCTCACTTAATACTTGTTCAAAAATCTAAAAGAAAGCCAAATATTAGATCAATATATTGAACAATTGAAACCATTAAAAATGCTTATTTTTTAACTGTTTACAAACTTTAGAAGGCTGATTTCTACTTCACAGAAATGCAAACAATTCATGTTTACCTTATAAATGTTAACTGCATCTTAAACATGTATAAATATGCTTCTTATAACAGAAGGAAAGATGAAAAAGAAAAGAACAATAAACATTTTTCTGCAATGAGTGTAAGTTTTTCGATCTCAGCCCACAGAAGACTTCCATGCTGTTGCAAATATTAAGTCATTGATTCCTATTTGCTCCTTAGTTGCTGTGAGAAGGTAAAAAGCTCCAGGGAAGAAAAATGAGTGAGCGGTACATGTAGGAGATAACCGCTTTACAGAAAAGAAAAAAAAAAACTGTAAATTACATTTGCAGTTTCATAACTTGCATTACATGCAAGTTTCATACTGAACTAAAAATACTCACCATTATTCTTAGATTTAATCTAAAATTGAACAGTAAGTATTTTGGCAATAATTCATTAAAATTTACTAATATTAATTACATTGCAAATCAAGTATTAGACAAATAATTCTAATGTATCTTTATCATCTCTACACACTGCAATATATTTTCTTTGCAAATATTTATGTAAATTATTATATGTTTTAATCCTTAAACAACAACAGGAAAAAATATTCTGGCAAAGTAGTAAATACTTTTCAGATACAAAGTAAATACAGAATAGCAGAAGAAAAATACTCTTCCATCAAAAAGATGGAAATTCAGTAGAGAAGAAGTAAATTATTTTTATCTTCTACTCTGAGAATAGCCTCTTTCCCACACTTAGAAGTTAATTCCACAAGAATTGAGGAGTATTGACATTTTCAAGTTACCACTTCAAATGGATACTGAGGACAGCCCAGCAATAATTTGGTGTCACTGGTTATAGCAAACCACTTTGAAGGCTTGGCAGTGAAACCAGTATTAAAAAAAAAAAAAAAAAAAAAAAAAAAAAAAAAAAAAAAAAATCCATGCTCAATTCCCAGATGAAAATGGTTATATGTTTTCTTACATTTCACTTGTACTTACATACTGCCAAAATATAACTCATGAACACCTGAGTCAGTTCAAGAATTATTCAGTTCAACTTCTATTTGAATAAAAATACATACTGGGCTTTCTGCTTCATTTTTTAATGTTTTATATTCTTTACACATCAAGTCAATCTTACAAAGGAACTAGGTACAATGTTCTATAATTGCAGGGAAAAGTACACTATGTATTTCTTAGGAATTGCCTTTATTAGAGGGGCAGTGCACATCATTATCATGCTTTGGATTTAAAATGAGCTTTGATAAATGTTCCCATGTAGTACACATTTATAAACTACACATAAAAGGCATTCAAAAAAGTTATAACACTAAACTAAGAAGAAATTCTATGTGACATTTCTGCTTTACCTTATCAAATTTTGTTCTATCAGCCACATCAAGATCAGAGGCAGACATGTTTCCCATATCCAACAGTGAGGATGACTGAGACCTACGGTTTCCTGAACTCTGAACAGAGAGTTTATTTAGGCTAGAAGTAGATCCAGTCAGTTTTCCAGAACTTCCATGGAGACCTATGAAATAAGAAGACTGTGAGAGAGTGAAGCTAAGGTAGAATAAAACACTTGAGAAGAACAGGTTCATTACAGAGTACCTCAGATGAGTGTTGCTAATAGCCCTGCATTAAAATTGAAGTTAACTGAGCCTTCATCTAAGCTGCAACTACTTTTGCTACATTTTTTTTTATTTTTTTCACAACAAGGTAACTGCAATGCTTCAGCAAGTCTCAGAGCTATCATCCTTTGCCTACATAGCTTACCCTAGCTATTTTTCCTGATCTATAACACTAAGTACACTACTGTTTGCTGATGCTTCCTCCTCCCTTTGATTATAATGAACATCAAGATGTTTCTACCTGATATGCCAGGGCCTTCCCTTAGTAGTGAGGAACACATCTTTTCAGGAATTTGGGAAATGTTGGAACATGGTAGAAAAAACTCAGCACAAAAACAAGGTATCATCAATATTTGATCCACAAGTAAACACCTCAAATTTCAACTGCAAAGGAACTTAAAAGCTATTCTGCAACATCTCATTTAATTGTTAGGCTGGTATCCCATCACAGCTACCATGGTCTAGGGACACAGACAAGACAAAGCTCACATGCCTAATAAAAGATGCTACCTCAACCTACTGGAAAAGTTGGGAAGCTAAGACAAGCTTTCAGGTACTAACATTTTTTAGATCAATTAGTAGCATGGGAAAAGCAGATGGCACCTTTACCTGCAAACCTTGTCTTATCCAACTTTTATGTTGAGCAATTTCAGTTGCACTTCATTCTTGCCTTGCAGAAACAATGATTCTGTTAATGCTTATTTCATTCTGTACAGACTGCTTTAATGTTAGGTAAATGTTCCACGATGCAGCACGACATCTTCACATTGATACACATGCATTGACAATACCAACTAATGCAACTAGTTATACTCACTCTCCGTTTCCTGTTTGACAGCACTTTCTTTTCGAGGCAGTGTAGCTGGGATGGATTAGGTTGCAAGCATCAAAGACAAAGACAAGTTAAAATGCAGTTTGCACAAACCATGCACAAGATGCAAGTTAAGCTCTAACTGGAAAGAAACATGCAGAGAACTATAAGCAGCAAGTAACTACATTGCAAACACATTTAGTTGGAGAGGTACTACTCTAGAAACTCAGTGTCTAAACTACATGG